ATGCCGTATTAACAGCTGATGACATTTACAGATAATGTTTTGCAAGATGCAAGAGTATGATATGTGTTCGATGGCAGACTTGGAAAAGGAAGGAAGAAAAAACAAAGATGCGAGGTTTTGAGTTTGTTTTCAAACTGTTGATTCTCGATTCACAAGAAAACAACTTATTTCAAGATTTGTCGGAACATCTTAGCCTTTGGTGAAACTGTTTTGTATTTTAAAGAATTCTAATATGGCCAAGATAATAATGTATACTTGATGTATGGGCACACATTCCCATAGTTCTTTGACCAACTGAGAAATCGTGTTGCGAACGTAGCAAGTTTATCACGATTTCTCACCCGGGTGAGAAATCGTGTCGTGGTGAGAAATCGTCTAATCAGGATCGTGTTGGTGTGTTTGAGATATCTACATGTATATGTAAATCAGGATAATTTAAATGACATCCTCTTTTTCTCTTTAAGCGGGACCGTTTACATGCTGTTTGTAATGTCAGTTTTATTGTCCTTTTGCCGAAATTTGTACATACTGTTTATGAAATCAGGTTTTTGTCCTCATTCAAGATCGTCACATGATGTTTATAATATCATTTGTATTATTCTGTAATTAGGATATCTAATGTCAATGTAGTCAGGTGCGGGAATGCTGACCAGAGCGTTAAACTGTACCTGTCTCTGGCATATATAGATGGGTCGTCTAACGTAGTCCGAACTGATCATAAGCACTCAAATAGTTTAATTGAACAAATTATTTTCAGCCAATAAACAGCTGATAAAGGCAACATCCTAATTGATATGGGAGATAACTCTATCTTTTGGGGAACACCACTCTGTGATATGGGAGATAACTCTATCTTTTGGGGAACACCGCTCTGTGATATGGGAGATAACTCGATCTTTTGGGGAACACCACTCTGTGATATGGGAGATAACTCTATCTTTTGGGGAACACCACTCTGTGATATGGGAGATAACTCATTTTTTGGGGAACACAACTCTGTGATATGGGAGATAACTCTATCTTTTGGGGAACACCACTCTGTGATATGGGAGATAACTCTATCTTTTGGGGAACACCAATCTGTGATATGGGAGATATTTCATTTTTTGGGGAACACAACTCTGTGATATGGCGAGATAAACCTGGTGTTGATAATAGAAAAACAACACGATCTCAGACAAATTACTGGAGCCCCTTATCGCCGGTAAATCTGTCAGTTACCATATTTGGTGAAGCAGACGAGACATCTCGCAATGCTGTCGGGTATTAAGTTCAAGGTCGACTCCATACCGTCGGGAACCCGATCACAAACTTAACATGACGTACGTTACTGTATGTTTCGATTTATGGAAATGGGCGCCAGATGGTTCTGAAAACCATTATTTTCAGTAAATGACAAAGCTGTCATAACGATTGTACTCCCCGAATACGTTTCTAATGTCGTAATGGAATATATAGGTCACGAACGTGACACGCTTCTGATTCATATAGATGTAAATAAACTAGACCATTTATTCCTCAGCGTGTGAAGCTTCGCCGACACTATCTATTTTATAGTTCATATACATGTAGGAGAAATGAAAACTAAACAACGATGGAAGTCGGGATTAAAACAACCATGGTGGTGGGATATATATAAATGCTATTTTTATAGTTATTATCCAACTCGCGGAACAAGCCTTGTCACTACTGGGATTCCGTACCATTGACCTAACGAGGCACACATGCACGGATTGACTTACTTTAGTTTCGTGTTATCGTTAAATTTGGAAACTCTGTCCTGAACTATTTAGACCAGAGCCGAGTCGATTGTTTCAACAATTGCACTTTCTGTCTAAATAGCGTAAAATGATATAATATTATTCAGCTTTGTGATTTTCACTACCAAATTGGACAGTTATCTAGTTTTCCATCTATTCTGAACAGATCCCTCATCGTTTGTAGATTTGAGTCGGTGCTGATCGGTGAGTCGTTCTGGTAGATATGAATGTTAGGTAATTACCCGCGGTACTTTACCGTGACGAGAAGAGCGTATCGAAACACCAGTCGCGAGACTTAGGAACAGCCATCTAGCAGAATCAATGAATAATATCGGGTTGTCGTCAAATGGAGCAATTTTCTTGCATTAAAGGTAAAAAAAACATGTTTCACAAAAGGTGCCTGAACGTCGGTGCGTGAATTCTATGACGTAGATCTCAATGTCATGCGTGACGGATGCATTTTTTCAAACAATTGGAACAGTTACATGTACATGTACACAACAAACTATACTTTAGGATTTAACATAAAAATCAATCTTGTTAAAAACTTAACCAACAAAGTGCCAAGTTATGATTCTTCTTTTATATCAACCGTGTACGCTGAAGTCTCTTGTAAAACGTTCTTTATATAACCCTATACTGGCAATACACCCGCAAGGAAATTATTAGCTATTTGGTATGATTTTAATTACAGATTTGATATTTTTGCATTCGATTTAAACATAATATATAAAACACTTCAGTTTTATTGTTGAAATGGGGTAACTACGTTGTAGAACTGTGATGTTGAAGTATGTGTACAAATGACAATTTCTATAGCAAAATACACGTTGTCACGTGATAAGCTATACAGCTTAAGTTTGAAAAATACTTTACTATACTCAAACAACAAGAAAGAATTACTATCTGTGAGTTCAGAACCAGTAATATATCTCTGCCAATAGAGACTGGGCGATTGACTAGAACATCACGTGAAAACATAATCTGTCCGCTTTTTAAATTTGTTTTACTGGAGTTGGAAGCTAGTATCATTATTTGTTTATATTTTCAAATGCTTATTTAAGTCAAATCCGTAGAAAATATATACCTATTTATTATACCTCTAACCATTTGTTCATAAAATGAAAGGATTAATATCAATATGCAATGTTAGAATATTATCAAATATATCGCCTTTCATACAATTAATAGATTTCACACATCAAACTGTAAACTTTTGTATACATATAGATATATTACTGATCATTTTGTTAAACCTAACATAATTGTATTGTATAATGAGTATGGTTGCAGCTTGTTTATCATGGTTTGTTTGTTATATCCCTGATTGAAGGTATTTGTATATTATTTGTATCTGTCTATTACAGTATTGTATGATGGGATTGTAACACTGTCTATTATACCTTTGTAATATTATATGGTATGATGAGTATGATAGTCACTATTATGCCATGGTATGATTGCACTCTATGGTGTGGTATACTATCTATAATACATATATCATGTAGTGCGAGTAATATATGTGTAATACTGTAATAATATTAATGTAGGATTGTACTGTAAGATGGATGCAGCAGTGCCTGTTACATGTATACCACTGTGTGAACGCATGGTATGGGTGAATGTAATGCTTTGTATTATACCATCGTAATAGTATTGTGAAGTGAGTGTAATAATGTATATCACAGTGTATGATGAGTGTCATTGTATGAGCAGTGCGTTATATTGTCTATTATAATAAGGTATGATAGTACGTATGAACAGTGTAATATTGTGTTTATCATTGTATAAGGAGTGTAATAGTTTCCACTATATTATTGTACTCTATCATAGTAAGATGAGTGCTTTAAGGTCAACTATATCATTGTTATATTGTACTTTATGATGACCACTTGTTGCGCACAATAGTGTGCCTGAGTGATAATAAACATCTCTGAAATATTATATTATTATATCACTGTTTGAATTATGGATGAATATTTCCCACATAATAGCATGGACATTCCATTTGACGGACATGTCGATCAAACTTACACTGAACTTGTCATAATTCGGCGATTACGAGTGTTTCACAAGCGTCCCCCTGTCACCCAATTTAAGACCTGATTCCCCGCCTTCTGTGGGGTTCGGTTCGATCATCGTAGATTACATCTGACCACAAGACAGAGATGTGGCACTTAACGTGACATATCAATATACAAAACAGCTAGGCAATGGCAGCATGTATTGCAGCTATTTCGATTAGTGTTTTTATGACTAGTGGGACCGGAAAATTCAAAAGAAGATGTCGTAGTTTTAATACCGCGTGTTTAAAGGAACACGTCGAATAATTCATTCTTTATGTCTGTATTTACGTATTCAAGGACTTCATACAACGAAACACGTCCTAAATGAAATCATAACTTTCTTATCCTTGCAACAATCTGCTTTGACATCGGTTTCGCCAGGGTTTAAAGTAGAAACACTCGATATTTGTGGCGTGCTTGGGCAGTCTGCGGAAGGTTTGCTTACGGTGGGGAGTATTAATGTTGCCGAGCGTATAAGGGAATGACGATCAGCAAGCTCGGACCCGCCGGGCACACATCGTTATAACTACTTCGGACCCTGTGCATTCCGTATAACTGTTAGATCGGAAGTTTTGTAGGCAGGACAGAAGCTAAGCAAAGCCCTTTGTAAACCGGAACTGACATTGTTTCTGCGCTGTGTGACACTGGTGTATTAATTAATTGACATATTAAGTTAAATTTATCGTATCGTTTCATCACCTCGTTTGGAACCTCTGTACATCGGACAAAAATGATCGTGTAGATAATGATTTTGTCATTTTATCTTATCCTTATATGGTGAACTGTACAGAACACTCAACACATCGGCAATTATTCCGTTTTAACCGTACTTTTAATTTCCCATGTGAACAATCTTTATACTGTCACGTTTAAGTTGCACCCTCTATACATGGGAACCTGTTTACACGATTTGTTGGAGAACTTGAAGCTTGAAACCAGGACCTGAACGGGGACGCATGACCTTTACTACAAATTGATATGCATTGGACTGTTATTCCCGTATATGGTCATATTTACATCACGCGTACATCTCTACGTAGCTAGGAACCCCTGTAATCGGACTGTTCCACCGATCGACTATTTCCTGTTACGTCAGAACCGGATGTGAATATGTTTCCATGCCATTTTCCTGGTGTCTTCAGTAAGTTACCAGTTCTGTTCTTCATTTGTTTAGCCCTGTGTACGGAGTGTCTACCGGACGAGCAGAGACTGGTGGGCAAGCTCTTTGACAAGCTTACATACGACAACAGCGTCCGTCCGGTGTTCAACTCGTCCGAGAATGTTGTGGTCGGTTTCGGCTTCAGCCTCATTCAGATTATGGACATGGTGAGTAGTTTTGTTGTATTTGTTTGTATATCAGTCAGAGGGTATCGTTTTGTTTTTATGTAATTGAGGAGTAAGTGTGTCTGTGTGTAGTTCATGAGTAAGTTTACCCTGGTGTTGTTCAGAAAGTATTTTTCTTATGTTTATTTCAGAAATTAGTGTATTTATGGGTAGTTCAGAAGTTAGCGTATTTATGGGTAGTTCAGAAGTTAGTGTAGTGATGGGTAGCTCAGAAGTTAGTGTATTTATGGGTAGTTCAGAAGTTAGTGTATTTAACGGTAGTTCAGAAGTTAGTGTATTTATGGGTAGTTCAGAAGTTAGGGTATTTATGGGTAGTTCAGAAGTTAGTGTATCTATGGGTAGTTCAGAAGTTAATGTATTTATGGGTAGTTCAGAAGTTAGTGTAGTGATGGGTAGCTCAGAAGTTAGTGTATTGATGGGTAGTTCAGAAGTTAGTGTATTTTCGTGTTGTTCAGAAGTTGTTGTATTTATGAGTAGTTCAGAAGTTAGTGTATCTATGGGTAGTTCAGAAGTTAATGTATTTATGGGTAGTTCAGAAGTTAGTGTAGTGATGGGTAGCTCGGAAGTTAGTGTATTGATGGGTAGTTCAGAAGTTTGTGTATCTATGGGTAGTTCAGAAGTTAGTGTATCTATGGGTAGCTCAGAAGTTAATGTATTTATGGGTAGTTCAGAAGTTAGTGTATTTATGGGGAGTTCAGAAGTTAGTGTAGTGATGGGTAGCTCAGAAGTTAGTGTGTTTTCGTGTTGTATTTATGAGTAGTTCAGAAGTTAGTGTATCTATGGGTAGTTCAGACGTTAGTGTATTGATGGGTAGTTCAGAAGTTAGTGTATCTACGTGTTGTTCAGAAGTTGTTGTATTTATGGGCAGTTCAGAAGTTAGTGGATCTATGGGTAGTTCAGAAGTTAGTGTATTGATGCGTAGCTCAGAAGTTAGTGTATTTACGTGTTGTTCAGAAGTTGGTGTATTTATGGGTAGTTCAGAAGTTAGTGTAGTGATGGGTAGCTCAGAAGTTAGTGTATTTATGGGTAGTTCAGAAGTTAGTGTATTGATGGGTAGCTCAGAAGTTAGTGTATTTACGTGTTGTTCAGAAGTTGCTGTATGTATGTGTTGGTTAAGAAGTTATTGCATAAGTGTGTATTTTAGAAAGAAGTATATCTGTGTATATTTTAGAAGTTAGTATATTGGTGTAAAGTTACAAAGTTATGTTCGTCTGAAGAAGTCGACTGTGCATTGATAAATATAAACTTTATTTATTTTACAACAATTATGTAACAAGTTATATCAACTTATGTTATTCACCTTTGATGGCCCGGATGTTAGCGCGCGGGGGGTCTTAGTGTGGGAGGAAACCGGATATCGGAGACAATCCACGTGGTCGGGCAGGTGACCGCGTATATTTTCACGCCCGATCGGGGAATCGAACCCCGGTCGCCTTGGTGAAAGGCAAGTGCGCTTTCCACTGCGCCACCCAACCACCCGACTGTACATTTGACAGTATATTTATAATTTGTTTGTGATAGTAATCATCTGTTCATGTACATGTACATAAAGTAGGAAAGTGTTTTTTTATCCCCTTTTAAATAAATTCTGAGCCTGGAAATTAAAGCTATACGTGTTTCCCGATTATAAGCTATACCAATACTTAGTTTAGTTATCTATAACCTTAATCGTCTGTTTGTATCTATTTTGAGTGTAAGACAGTGCTGCAAATGTGCAGCTTCAGGCTGAATTAAGAAAGCGCTATGTGCTGGCAATTTAAATTGGTTTAAATTACATACCAAGCAAAATGGATTACAATGAAAAGTTAACCTGTCAAAATTAAGATGTTATAGTGTGGTTTGTCGTCAGAGTTTACGTACGAATTCTCGATAGGATAGGGAATCATCATACTCAAAACGTCTATAGTAACGTGTAACATCTGGAATTCATATTTGAAATTTTGAGAGCTTTGTCTGCGAACAAATCACGTAAGACTATATATGTCAACCTCCATACACAGAAGGCCTTCTATAGATTGAAAAATATCGTTCCCTTGATTAATTAAAATATGTGTTGCGCTAATATTGATTTGTATCTTTGAGATGAAAATGAAAAAAAAAAGTTGTCAAGCTAAAAGAGGTAGGATCATTGCATGAGGCAAATGTGATAAATATTTTTAACTATATTAAAAATGACTATTCAAAAAGATTCAAACCCACATTAGAATGAAGTGAACAAATTGTATATATACAGTGCTTGTTTAACAGTTCAAATATTTTAAAAAAGAAGATAAAATTCATTTAAAAATAAAAGAAAGATGATTGGATGCAATAAGAAGAAACTTAAAACAAATATCGATCGTTTTACATTCCCCGTAGTTGGATTTCATTCACATAATTCCCCAGAATAAAACAAATTTTAAAGGCTCATGTGAGGGACAAGTTACAAAGATCGTTAAACAGCATCACTAGTGTACCGTTTTAATGTTCAAGTACACTTAACATTTTAATCACATCTCGTAGGTAGATTTATCGAGTTCTACCATATGACGAAACCATAAAAAACAATTAAACAGCCATGTATGCACCTTAACGTTTATGTAAACTGTTTTTTTGCGTGATTGAAAAGCACATCCAAGTTTGTTTTCCATAGATATATACATTTAACTCATCGAACGTACACTTTTAACTCGATCTCCTGGTAGTAAAACCAATTACATGGAAATAGATAGTTAATATAACCGTAGGATCAAACTTGGTATAACTTTGTATCCAGTATAACATAACACACACCGGAGTAATCTTAGAAACGGAATAAGTCCTTGGGAGCAATCGTCACACGAGATTCATAATCCAAGCATACGTCATCACCAGCTCCGCACGCTACACCGGATTTAATCTGTTCTGGGCCTCACAAATATCTGTATAGTTCGAAGTCACGAATCTTTGTACATGTATCTATAATGTTCACGAATTCACCTTTTTTTATCTTTGTTTAAGACAGATGGCATCATTTGATAAAAAATACTATCAAATATATACATTTCTTAATATTAGGACATGAACATTCTGACAGAATATGAAATTTATATTGACACTGCCTTTTCTGTGTTTTTTTTCCATTTTTGTTTTTTGTTTTCATCATTTGTTGGCTGTCTGTACGCTCTCTGTGAGGATGTTACATGCTACTTACTGTGTATGTATGTAAAGCCCATGGGCCATGAGCGTAAGTTCCGATCAAAACCAGACCATAGTTCTGCTGCAAGTACAAACACAGCTAAAAATAAAAAATAAATAATCTAAAAATCAATTCAAAATCTGTCACTTACATTCATACAAGAAAATCAAGGAACGTGTAAATCAAATGTAGTTGGCTGAGTACTAGCGTAACTCTATCACTGAAGTAAGAGGAAGGTTCCTAACCCTAACCCAACAATGTCAGTACTACTGCCAGATCAAGACCCAGAAACGTTCTCAATATTATAATTGAGATAAGTGCATCAAAAATTTCTAAACACTTAAAATTCTGCACAAGCAAAAAAATAGTAGGAACCTTCACAAGAATTTGTCAACATTCGGTAGTGACTTGATAGTCTGTCTCTATCTCTACATTCGGTAGTGTCTAAATAGTTTTTCTCTATCTCTACATGCGGTAGTGACTTGATAGTTTGTCTATATATCTACATTCGGGGGTGAGTTGATAGTCTGTCTATAGTTTGTCTCTATCTCTACATTCGGTAGTGACTAAATAGTTTTTCTCTATCTCTACATTCGGTAGTGACTAAATAGGTTTTCTCTATCTCTACATTCGGTAGTGACTAAATAGTCTTTCTCTATCTCTACATTCGGGAGTGACTTGATAGTCTGTCTCTATCTCTACATTCGGAAGTGACTTGATAGTTTGTCTATATCTCTTCATTCGGTAGTGACTTGATAGTTTGTCTCTATCTCTACATTCGGTAGTGACTTGATAGTCTGTCTATATATCTACATTCGGGTGTGAGTTGATAGTCTGTCTATAGTTTGTCTCTATCTCTACATTCGGTAGTGACTTGATAGTTTGTCTATATCTCTACATTCGGCAGTGACTTGATAGTTTATCTATATCTCTACATTCGGTAGTGACTTCATAGTTTTTCTCTATCTCTACATGACGGTGGTGACTTGATAGTTTGTCTCTATCTCTACATTCGGTAGTGACTTGATAGTTAGTCTATATCTCTACATTCGGTAGTGACTTGACAGATTGTCTCTATCTCTACATTCGGTAGTGACTTGATAGTTTGTCTATATCTCTACATGACGGTGTGATCAACTTATTCAGATAGCACTTATAAAACGAAAACTGTTATTCTGCAACTATTTGCTAGCCTATGCATTAAACGTTTTCAATTGATTAAACTTTATTCTGAAAACACAGAACCATTTACATTGTATGTATCTAGCAGCATTTTGTTGCGTGCTGTCTCAAGCTGTCACGTGTCAACCTCAGAAATGGGATCACAGTATCCACTAATACATTTTGTCTTGGTGTTCCATGCTCTCGTGTCAACCTAAGGGATGACATCACAGTATCCACTAATACATATGTCTTGGTGTTCCATGCTTTCGTGTCAACCTCAGGAATGACGTCACAGTATCCACTAATACATGTGACTTGGTGTTCCATGCTCTCGTGTCAACAACAGGAATGACGTCACAGTATCAACTTTTACACGTGTCTTGGTGTTCCATGCTCTCGTGTCAACCTCAGGGATTACGTCACAGTATCCACTAATACATGTGTCTTGGTGTTCCATGCTCTCATGTCAACCTCAGGGATGACGTCACAGTATCCACTAATATATGTGTCTTGGTGTTCCATGCTTTCATGTCAACCTTAGGGATGACGTCACAGTATCGACTAATATATGTGTCTTGGTGTTCCATGCTCTCATGTCAAACTCAGGGATAACGTCACAGTATCCCCTAATATTGGTCTTGGTGTTCCATGCTCTCATGTC